AGGAATCAAGTATTATGGGGCAAAGGCAGAAAAGTGGTATTGAGGATTAACAGATCAGTCACAAACTCACTGAAAGGCACAGCACACATAGTGAGCTTAATGACCTACTTCTGCCCCTTTGTTTTAAGGTCTTGAGGTTGAATTTACAAAAAAGTCTACATTGTTGTGCACTGACCAAGAGAAATAATTTCCACAATAGACTCAGGACACAATTGAGAAAGTGTCTGCTTTTACTGACATCTAAATTGGTATGGTACTGGCCTTCACAGAACACTGAGAGACTTCTTCAAAAATAAGACTTACTTGCAGGACTTTGTGGATAAGCATTACCATGACAGTTTCAAATGGATATGTACATGTTGTCATGGCTACTTTCTCCTTACACCAGCAGTGGAACAGTCATTTGACTGAACAGTGAAACATCCTGGTATGGATAACCAACGTTCACTTTTGTTGTTATCAGCATGTTACAAAGGTTACAGCAAATGTTGCAACATATTAGCATGTGGAGTCAACATTCTGCGCAACAACTGTACGGCCCAAAGACCAATGATCCTGTGTCGGAACCACATTTTTAGCCTATATCCAATATTTTACCTTCTAATAACCTCAACACTTCGGTGGTGAAGTAATCTGCATAATATACTTGTTTATATAATTCTGTGATTCCTCAGTCCTCATTAGCCAGTTAGATTAGCATAGTTATGGCTCATACTCACCCCACTGCCCAAGCACCCAAGGACAGGTATCACCTTTTCTTGTGCAATGCACTGAAGGATTCTGGGTGCACCATAAAGACCTCCCATGCAGGAAGCTAAAGATGAAATGTACAACCCCAATAACCAGAGGAACCCCACCAAGGCAACCTACAACACAAGAATAAGTTCATGCCATAGATTAACAATATAATTATGTCAAGTATTTTCTGCATCTTTTGAATGGAACTCCATTGTTGGACACCTAATTTGCACATATTTATATGCAAATAAATTTGAACATGCTGCAAAATTCAAAGACAAAGCAACTATTTATTGCATTTTAAACAAGTATGTCTCACAATATAGCATCTTAACAGCATTCAACATTTTTGATATAGTAATTAATTTTATTCTCTTTTCAAATACCATGGAGACTTTAAGCTTTAGCTTTCTGTATCAATTTATATCCTAAGGTCCTTCATAGGAGCACTATCAAAGAAAATTTGAAACTAATCCACAAAATGATATGTTGAACCAGGTGACCAATGGCTCAGTTAAGGAGAAGTATCTTCAGTGGGCCGTTAAAGAAAACAAAAAGAGTGGAAGAGGCAGTGAGATTTAGCAAGGTAATTCCAAAGTTTACAGCAGAGGAAGCAGAAACGATGGCCATAACTGCAGGAGTGATTAAAATAAGCAATGTTCAAAAATAAAAAAAAACAACTGTGGATGCTGGAAATCTGGCCAGGATTACAGATATCTTCAGAGGGTTGAGGAACAGGAGAAGTTAACAAAGGTAGGGAGGGACAGGGACATGGATTTGTAAACATGAATAAAAGTGTAAAATTAATGTGCTGCTTAACCAAGAGTCAATGCAGCTCAGCAAGCTATACAGATAGGAACGAGGCAGAAAAGTTTGGGAGCCTGGTCAGAGTTCACTAGATTGTCAAAACGAGAGGTAACAAAGGCATGGGTCAGGACTTCAGGAGCGTACAAGCTGATTGGGACCAAAGTTGAACAATGTTATGGAGATGGAAATAGGCAGCCTTACTGGTAGAGCAGGCATATGATTGGAAGTTTAACTCATGATTAAATATGAACTCAAGGTTTCAAACTGCGTGGCTCAACCTCAGGCAGTGATAGGAAAAGGCATAGAGTCAGTTGCTGGGGAGCAAATTTTATAGTGGGGCCTGAGGACAATGGATTCGGTGGTGCCAATATTTAGATGAAGGAGATTTCTGCTTATTTAGTTCTTGGGTAATAAGCAATCTGTTGTTTCAGAAACTTTGGAGGAAATGAGTAGTAGTGGTGAGTACAGCTGTATGTTCAGTTTTTTAAAACATGTTCTTTCATGGGATGTGTGTGCAGTAGCAAGGCCAGCATTTGTTGATTATCCCTAAATGCCCTTGAGAAGGTGTTGGTGAGCCACTTTCTTGAATGAGCACAGTTCATCTTGAATAGGTGCACTCAAGATGCTCTTAGACATGGAATGCCAGGTTTATGACCCAGTGATACAAAAGGACCAGCAATATAGTTCCAGGAAGGATAGTGTGTGATTTCGATGGAAACATCCAAAGTGTGGCATTCCCAAGCAAACTCTGCAGTTGTCCTTCTGGGTGGTAGTGGTCATAGGTTTGGAAATGCTATTCGATGTGGCTGGGTGAGTTGCTGCAGTGCATCTTCTAACTGACACATGTTGCTGCTACTGCATACAGCTCATCGAGTGAGTGAACGTTTAAGATACTTGATTGAGTGCCACTAAAGTAAGTTGCTTTGTCCTGAATGGTGTCGAGGTTCTTGAATGCTGCTTGAACATAGAAGCAAGAATAGACTTCTCTCGATATTATTAATTTCCAGATATCTATCAATCATTGTCTTGAATGTATTTCATGACTGATCTTCCACATTTGGAGCTTTACTCATTTAGGCAAGTGGAAATCTTACAAATCTTCCATCACAATCTTACTTTGTACCTTTCAGATTGTGGACTGACTTTGGTGATTCAGGAGACCAGCTATTTGTTGCATCAGTTCCAGCCTCTGACCTGTTATTATAGTCACAGTATTTATCTGCCTATGTAGATGTAGACACAGATGCAGTGTTTTCAGATGACTCTGTGAAGAGGCAGCATTTTAAAGTGTACTGCAAAAGAAGCCAGGGTGACGTGAAAAAAATATGTACACAGTGAGTATTTGGAGTCTGGAATGCACTGCCTGGAAATGTGGTGGAGACAGGTTCAATTGAGGTGGTCAAAAGTGTATTGGTTGGTTATTTGGGTAGAAGTAGTGTGCAAGTGTATGAGGAAAAAGGCAGGAGATTGGTATTAGGTAATGACATTTGAATAGCCATGTAGGCATGATGGGCCTCCTTCTGCAATTTTATGATTCGGAGATGTAGGTAAGAAATAGGAGGGAATTGTTTAAGTTAAAACTTAAACTTACTGTAACAGTATGGTATAGTCTGGCACAAAAAGAAATTGGTGGAAAAACTCAGCAGGTTTAGCAGTATCTGTGGAGAGAAATCAGAGTTAACGTTTCAGGTCCAGTGACCCTTCCTTGGTACTGGACCTAAAATATTAACTCTGATTTCTCTCCAGATGCTGCCAAACCTACTGAGCTTTTCCAGCAATTTCTCTTTTTGTTTCTGATTTCCAGCATTCACAGTTCTTTCGGTTTTTATTTAGTATCGTCTGGAATCCTCTTTGTAATTAGCAGAATGTGAAGAAGAAAAACCAGATTTGTATTTAAAACCTGATATTTTAGAATTCCCACAGAGAAGAAAGAAGCCATTTGGTCCATGGAGTCTTCACTAGCCCTCTGAAGAGCATCACACTCAGACCCACTCACTCCATCACTCTGCATGGGGATTTTTGCCATGCTAATCCACCTAACCTGTACATCCCTGGGCACTACAGGGCAATTTTTAGCATGGCCCATTGGCTAACCCGCACATTACTGAGTGTGGGAGGAACACCACACGGACTTGGGGAGAAAACGCAAACTCCACACAGATTGTCGCCCAAGACTGGAATCAAGCCTAGGTTCCTGTAGTTGTGAGACAGCAGTGCAACTACTGAGCCACTGTGCCGCCCAGCAATATCCAGCTATTTTGACACATCGATCCTAAAAACCCTAATTTGGTCCCGGAAAAAGTTACAAATTCTCCAAATTCAGTTCAAGTAGAACAGTTTAGGTTTCGTTTGTCTTACTGGTGTAAAATATCAGCCAGGTCTCTGGGAGAACGCTGCTACCCTCTCTGTTAGAGTCATGGAATGATTTATTTCCATTTATAAGGATTAACTGGGCCTCAACTTAATGTCTCATCTGAAAGACAATATTTGCAACTATGCAACATGTGTTCAATATTAGTTAGGTGTACACTCAACTTGCTGACTCAGACAGAATGATACTTCTGAACTAAGTCTTAGATCTAGGAATGATGTTTAGGGTTTAACAGCAAGGGAAGATGGGATCCTTAAACTTGATATAATGGAATTGAGCAGTTGGTCCCAGATTGTATAAGTACTTGGCATAATTCAAAAAAATTAGGTAAGAGAGCTGGGCTCTGCCAGAGGCTAAGAGGGAAGCAAGAATGTGTTGGTGACAGCAGTGCTGACACCAAATTCAGAGCAGGAATAAAGTATGAAAGATGGAAGGCAACAGTGAGAATGAACCAGGCTGCAGAAAGAGGATACAGCTGCAATGAAGCTGGAAGCTATAGGTTGAATGGGTTTGCCTTTTCAGCTCAATCCATTAGAAACAACAAAATAGATTAGTTTCACATAATATTAAGGTGGAAGTTCAGT